CAGCTAATCCAGGACACAGACGCCCCCAGGTGTCCATGCAGACTAGACTGGCTCCAGAAGATGAGGTCCGCCCACCGGGTGGAATATTAGACAGCCAGAGAGAAGGGTGACACACAGCTACTTTAACGAGACGCAAGGGATTCGCGAGAGTGACGCGCGGCCAGTCCGTCGGAAGGCTGATACCAAGCCCTGGACGTTTGCACGGCAGACCAGCCCACAGCCCGTTTCTGACAGACGCTCCAGGCTCTGAAGGGGGTCAGGGCAGGGGCCAGGGGGCGCCAGGGGGGTCGTGGGGAAAGTCCCTGAGGTACTGGCCTGAATACACAGAGTCCATCCGGGGAGCCCGAACCACACAGGAATTTCCGGTCCTGAAAGCTGGCAAAGCCAACAGTGAAGGCGCCAGCGACAGAATTGCTCCGGTTTTCGTAGACGAGCAAGAGCTCCTTCCCAGACCTGACGACTCGGCATCGACCGGAAGCCAGGTTTTCGCTTAGAACTTGGAGAACCAAAATTAAAGAGCCAGCCTGGTGGGAGGGGGAGCTGGGTGCCGGCGCGAGCCGCTTTCACAGCCTCCGGTCCCGGGGTTCAGGCCTCTGGCCACCTGGGCCCCACCGAATGGGACCGGCAGTCTGGCCCCTGGAGCCACCGAGACACCAGGAGGGACACAGGCGGCTGCCCAGCGGGGCCCCCCCGGGAACTGGGAGCTCAGCGTACTGCCTGGGACAGGCTGCCGGAGCTTCCTGGACCCCGGGGGGAGGCTGTGACCTGGGAGCCACGACTGAGTCCATGAACACAGCATGAGCTCTGCACACCGGGAGAGGGGAGATGGGGGTCCCTGGCCCAGAGGCTGTGACTGTTCCAGATAGGGGGGCTCATGGGCTAAGATGTAGTTGGTGCACATGGTGGAATATTATACAGTCAGGAAAAAGGATGGGCTCTCCCCCACCCTCTCAAGAACATGCTGGGTCCCCACTGCTCCATCCTCTTCATCTGTCCCTGGGGTGAGGGGCTGGGGTGACGGACTGGTCACATCCAGGCAGTGGACTGTGCCGGGGAGCCGTGAGGGACAGCTGACCAACGTCCATGCACAGGCTCTGCTCTCTGGCCCGCTGGGCAGCGAGGCCCAGGAAGACTCACCCTTGTCCGCAGAACCCAGAGGCTGTGACTGTTCCAGATTAGGGGACTCATGGGCTAAGATGTAGTCGGTCCACACGGTGGAATATTATACAGCCAGGAAAAGGGTGGGCTCCCCCTCTCCCAAGAACGTGCTGGGTCCCCACTGCTCCATCCTCTTCATCTGCCCCTGGGGTGAGGGGCTGGTCACCCCCAGGCAGTGGACTGTGCAGGGGAGCGGTGAGGGCCAGCTGACCGACACCCATGCACAGGCTCTATCCTCCGGCCAGCTGGGCAGCCAGCAAGGCTCAGGAAGGTTCAGGAAGGCTCAGGAAGGCTTTGTCCTCAGACCCCGGCTGCCCCAGCCAGCCCGGCCAGCCCGGCCAGCCCACAGAGGTCCTCCTCCAGGAATCTCAGCCATGTCCAGCGTCCTCCTGCAGCCGGAGACCGCGTGCAGAAGAGGGGCCGTGCGTGGCCACGGGGAGCGGCCTGCATCGGGTCAGGACCCCAGCGATGCCTCCTCAATCCCAGGGGCGGCGGGAGAGGCTGGCGTGGCCAGTTCCCTCCCCCTCTCCCCCAGCGCAGGCAGTCTGGCGGGACTGGGGACCCAAAAAGGGGGGCCGCCGCGGAGGCGTGGGGGTGGCGGCCCCTGGCCCACCCTGCTGGTGCAGGACCCCCGACTGCGCCACCTCCCGAGTGCTGGGGCTGCAAGATGGGACAGGCTCCCCCTGGGGGGGCGCGTGGAGCCTACCGCCCGTCTACGGGCAGCCGCGTCCCTGACCGACGGGCAGCCGCGTCCCTGACCGACCGCCGGCCTCCC